TAGGATTACAGGCATGAGCCACCAGTGCCCAGCTTGGCTTCTGTCTTAAGATGGCTTTCCTAGTAAGTGGTAGAGCCTGTATTCATAATGTGAGGATAGAGGTTGCTGTGCTTATTCTATTCTTTTTTTTTTTCCAGTCCTCGGACTTGAACTCAGGGCCTAGGCACTGTCCCTAGGCTTCTTTTTGCTCAAGGCTAGTGCTCTACCACTTGAGCCACAGTACTATTTTTTGTATATCTCTACTCAGATATAGAAAACCTAATGGAGCTCAATAAATGCTAATAACCTAACCAGGTGCTGATGGCTCCTGTCAGGTCCATAGCTAACATGGGCAGGAAAGTATGTGAGCCTCCCCAAAGTAACCATCAAAAAGCTGGGCTGGAGTCATGGCCTAAGTTATAGTGTACCAGCTGAACAAATGCAAGGCCTTGAGTTCAAACTCAGGTACTAACCAAAACAGAGAAAATTTTCCTAAGCCAATTACTGGTGGGTCACACCTGTAATCGTACCTACTCAGGAGGCTGAGATCTAAGGATCACTGTTCAAAGCCAGCCCAGGCAAGAAAGCCAGTGAGACTCTTATCTCCAATTAACCACCAGAAAACTGGAAGTGACACTGTGGCTTAAAGAGGTAGAACTTTAGCATTTATTTACTTGGAGGGGGGAGAGGGTCTGGTCGTGGGGCCTGAATTCTGGGCCTGGGCGCTGTCCCTCAGCTCATCAGCTCAAGGCTAGCGCTCTACCACTTGAGCCACAGCGCCACTTCCAGCTTTTCTCTTTTTGCTTATGTGGTGCTGAGGAATCGAATCCAGGGCTTCATGCATGCAAGGCAAGCGCTCTACCACTGAGCCACCTTCCCAACCCATTTATTTATTTATTTAGTCTGTTGTGGGGCTTGAACTCTGGGTCTGGGCACTGTCTCTCAGCTCTTCAGCTCAAGGCTAGAGCTCTATCACTTGAGCCACAGTGCCATTTCCAGTTTTCTGGTGGTTAATTGGAGTTAAGAGTCTCACTGGCTTTCTTGCCTGGGCTGGCTTTGAATGGTGATCCTTAGATCTAAGCCTCCTGAGTAGCTAGAATTAAAGGCATGAGCCAGTGGCACCTAGCTCTAGAGCATTACCTTTGAGTGCAAAAGCTCAACGACAGAGCCCAGTCCCTGAGTTCAAGTCCCCAAGCCCCCCTCATCAACAACAAAAAAGCTTCACAGAAGCCGGGCACTGGTAGCTCAAGCTTATAATCCTAGCTACTCAGGAGGATGAGATTTGAGGATTACAGTTAAAAGCCAGCCTAGGCAGAAAAGCCCGAGAGACTCTTATCTCCAATAAACCACTCAGAGAACCGGAAGTGGCACTATGGCTCAAGTGGTAGAGCACTAGCCTTGAGCTGAAGAGCTGAGGGACAGCGCCCAAGCCCAGAGTTCAAGCCCCACGACCAATAAAACTTCTCACAGACCTTCCTGCCTGGGCTGGCTTTGAACCATGAGCCTAAGATCTCAGCCTTTTGAGTAAATAGGGTTACAAGTGTGAACCCCCAGTACTCAGCTAAATCTTGTGCTTTCTTTGACAATACAATGTACGCCAAAGCAATCAGCAGTTAGTAGAACACTGAGAGGATCTATTCCAGAAAACTTTAGCCTTGAGAATCATAATAACAGCATCATACTTGTTTGTTTGTTTGTTTTTTAACACAGAGATCTCTTTCTGTAGGACAAATTTATGCAGTGGAACCATAGAAACAAGGAGAGATTTTATTATTAGCATGAGTTTGGAGGCTGGGCAACAGTGGCTCATGTCTGTAATCCTAGCTACTGAAGAGGATCACAATTCATAGCTAGCTTGGGCAGGAAAGTTGTGAGACTCTTATTTCCAATTAACTATCAAAATGCCAAAAGTGGTACTTATGCTCAAATGATTGCACACTAACCTTGAGCAAAAATGCTCAAGGACAGCAATGGGCCCAGTCCTGTTTTGGTGCCCCAGAACTGGCACCAAAAAAAAAAAAAAAAGAGCATGCTTATACATACCTGTGTCTACCTTTCCATGACTACTTATATATTATAATAATAATTTATTTCATCAAGCAATTCATGAGCACTCATTATATCAGTCATGGATCTGTGGGCCCTTCCCTTCAGCTATCTCACAGTATAAAAAAGTAGACAGAATAGAGGTGCTGGTGGTTCATGCCTATAATCCTAGCTATTCAGGAGACTGAAGTCTGAGGATTGAGGTTCAACGCCAGTCCAGGCAGGAAAGTTCTTGAAACTCTTGTCTCCAATTAACTACCAGAAAACAGGAAGAAGCATTATGGCTCAAAGAGATAGAGCCTTGAGCAAAAATTTCTCAGGGACAATGCCCAGGCCCAGATTTCCAGCCCATGACCGACACAAAAATAAATAAATAAAAACGTACAGAGGTATATAAATAAACCATAGGCTTAGAAATAAAACAGTAGAAGTATGAACAAGATATATCTTTTCTCCAAAGGAAAGAAGAATTAATTCTATGGAGTGGGGAATTGAGAGACGATCAGAGAAGGAAGAGGTCACAGTGCACCTGCAGCAGAGTTGAGCAAAATTCCTCTACACAGCACCTAGCTCTGCAGTGAAATAATTTTTGAGATCACACAGTATTAGTTTACTAAACTTGCTGTAGATAACACCTCTGACATGGATCATTATAATGATTACATAAATAACTTTCCTAAAAGCTTTGAGCTTTTTGCTGAAACTCTTCAGCTTTTGCTAAAACCACTGATTCTTCCCTTGGCCCTTTGTAGGTATCCAGTGGGTAACTGATATCAGAGAGCCAAACATTCCACCTCACATCATGCCACTGATTGCTGAAGGTGTATCCCATAGAGTTATAAAGACTGGGGCTGGGAAGGTGGCTCAGTGGTAGAGTGTTTGCCTTGCATGCAGGAGGCCCTGGATTTGATTCCTTAGCACCACATAAGCAGAAAAAGCTGGAAGTGGGACTGACGCTCAAGTGGTAGAGCGCCAGCCTGGAGCTGCAGAGCTGAGGGACAGTGCCCAGCCCCGGAGTTCAGGCCCCATGACCGACAAAAAAAATAAAAAATAAGGACTTATTATACACGTACATAGCACATATATGATTGTTTCACCAATCATCTTTCCCTACACCTCAAATCACTCTGCTTCTTTGTGTGTGTGTGTGTGTGTGTGTGTGTGTGTGTGCGCGTGCTAGGGTGTGAACTCAGTGCCTACACATTGACTCTGAGCTTTTTTGCTCAAGGCCAGTGTTCTAACACTTGATCCACAGCTCCATTTTCTGCCTTTTCATAGTTAATTGGAGATAAGAGTCACAGACTTTCCTTCCTTGGGTTGGCTTCATTCAAACCATTCAAATCCTCAGATCGCAGCCTCATCAATAGCTAGTATTACAGGCATGAGCCAACAGTGCCTGGCTTCACCTTGCTTCTGTTTTTTTTTTTTTTTTTTAATCTTGCCAGTCCTGGAGCTTGAACTCAGGGCCTGGGCACCGTTCCTGAGCTTCTTTTGCTCAAGGCTATCACTCTACCACTTGAGCCACAGTGCCACTTCTGGCTTTTTCTGTTTATGTGATACTGAGGAATCAAACCCAAGGTTTCATGCATGCTAGACAAACACTCTACCACTAGGTCACATTCCCAGCCACTCACCTTGCTTTTTTTTTTTTTTTTTTGCCAGTTGTGGGCCTGAACTCTGGGCCTGGGCACTGTCCCTCAGCTCATCAGCTCAAGGCTAGCGCTCTACCACTTGAGCCACAGTGCCACTTCCGGCTTTTTTCTTTTTGCTTATATGGTGCTGAGGAATCGAACCCAGGGCCTCATGCATGCAAGGCAAGCACTCTACCACTGAGCCAACTTCCCAGCCTCACCTTGCTTCTTAATTCCATAAATATTCCCAAACTTTATCCTCAGGGAGATAGTTAATTTAAGACTTGGATTTTTTTGTCTTTTGTATTCTGTCTTTTCATAACAATAATAAGATTTGTCATTTCAGTGATTAGCATACTGTGCAACAGGCCTAGCTTGGTTACAAATTTGTATAGGGCTGGGAAGGTGGCTCAGTGGTAGAGCACTTGCCTTGCATGCTTGAGGCCCTGGGTTCGATTCCTCAGCACCATATAAGCAAAAAGAAAAAAGCCGGAAGTGGCGCTGTGGCTCAAGTGGTAGAGCGCTAGCCTTGAGCTGAAGAGCTGAGGGACAGTGCCCAGGCCCAGAGTTCAGGCCCCATGACCGGACCCAAAAAAAAAACAAACAAACAAATTTGTATAGCAAAGAGGTCCTCTTTCCTGGGAGTTTGTGGAACAAACTTGTTTATTTCTTGCCTCTTTGGAATTAAAGCCCCTGCTGCTGCTGCTGCTGCTGCTGCTGCTGCTGCTGCTGCTGCCGCCGCCGCTGCCGCCACCACCACCACTACCACCACTACCAATGCTCTGAGCTGCTCTGGTAACATGACTACCACCTCCTCAGCACCTATCACTCAGCTTGGCCTATGGCCTCAGAATGTGGACAGTGTCCCAGATAAAGACACTTCATTTACCCCATCACTCCTGCCTATCTAGCTGTCCTGGAGGAAAGAAATGGATCCTTTAAGGGAAAGCACAGTCCCTGCAAAGGTGTCCATTAGTTATACAGTCCAGAGAGCTAGTACTCTGAGTCCTGAGTAAAAGACCCATGCAGTAGAAATGAGGACATGGGGGGCAGAAGTTTATGCTATAATTAGTTCTCAGAGTAACACAGCTGGGAGAGGGAGGGGAATACAGCCAGTAACTATTTTGAGCTTAGCTTCGATTGACGGGACATGTGTACTCGACTGGACTGATCCTAGGACCAGGTTGCTTGCCTGTGGTGTATGGTGTGTGGGGGGAGGGCGGGCAAGGCCTGGGGCAGCAGGAGCAGGACAGCCAGACAGGCAGGCCGGACGAGGTACCAGCGCCTTAACTTCTCTCCCTAGGACACTGTCCAAACGCCAGGGGCCATAGGCCAAGCTGAGAGATGGGTGCTGAGGAAGAGGTGCTGGTCACATTAACAGGGGGAGCCCCCTGGGGTTTTCGACTTCAGGGGGGGGCCGAACAGAGGAAACCCTTACAGGTGTCCAAGGTAAGGGAGAACCCCTGAAATGAAGTTTCTGCAAAGGGGAGACCAAGGGAAGCTGGGAAAGGTCATGTGGTGGCTTGTTGAGGGAGGTGGGGTCAGTAGGAGGCTATGTAAAAGAGGTGGTGGGTGAGTGGGCAAGGAAGCATGCTCAACTCTGGTAGGGGGAACAATATCTGATCACAAGCATTCTCTGGTGGGTGGGTTGGGGGAGGATGTTAGAGAAGTCAATTCCTAATTTCTAAGGAGCAGAGGAAAAGTAGGCCCTGCTTCTGTCTCTTGCAGGTCCCTAGGAGCAAAGGTCTGAGCTGGTCATCCAGTATTTGTTTTCCTATATGTGTGCCTCTATTCCAAACTCCAGGAATGTGGGGAAGGCTCTAATTTCTCTCTGACTAAATTGATTTGTGACAAGCTGAAGCTGTCCTGCCTTGCCCAGCCCTGCCCAGCCCAGCCCTGCCCTGTCCTTCCTTCAGTACTCCTTTTTCCCTAGGTCAGATTTTTCCCATTAATAAACAAAGCTTTCTTTTTTATATGTTAGCAGAATAACATGTAAGAGCTGGCTTTTCAGGTGAAGTCTTTACCCTTTGGTTTTCACCCTTCAACTTAGTTATCTGAACTATAAAATGTGGGTAGTAGAACCATTCTAAGAATTAAATGCAATAACATGTAGCACCATGCCAAATACTTAGTAAGAACTCAATACAGGATAGCCATGTGTGTGTACACTTAGTATACCTCTACACACACACACACACACACACACAAATACACACACACCACAATATCCCAGAATCCAACTGGTTGGCTTCAATCTGGAATACTTTAACTTGTTGTAGAAAGGAACTATTGGGAATATCTTGGGATTTATAATATCATTTCTAGAATCTCCTCCATGTAGTTTTTTCTGGGCTTCTTTCATTTAGTGTTCACTCTACCTCCCACCAGTATGCCCATTTTTTTCCTAGAAAAAGGATTCCTGAGTTGCAGGCTCATGCACTCCCATTTTGTGTGTGTGTGTGTGTGTGTGTGTGTGTGTGTGTGTGTGTGTACAGGGGCTTAGACTCAGGGCATGAGTGCTGTCTGTTAGCTTTTTCACTCAAGACCTGTCATTCTACCGCTCAAACCACACCTCTACCTCCTGCTTTTTAGTGGTTAATGAGAGATAAGAGTCAGTCTCTCAGATTTATCTCAGTCTCCTGAGTAGCTAGCATTACAGGGGTGAGCCACTCACCCATGGCTCCTCCAATCCATTTTTTTTTTTTTTTTGTCGGTCATGGGGCTTGAACTCTGGACCTGGGTGCTGTCACTCAGCTCTTCAGCTCAACGCCAGCGTACTACCACTTGAGCCACAGCGCCACTTCTGGTTTTCTGGTGGTTTATTGGAGATAAGAATTTTACGGACTTTCCTGCCCAAGCTGGCTTTGAATTGCAATCCTCAGATCTCAGCCTCCTGAGTAGCTAGGATTATAGGTGTGAGCCACTGGCGCCCAGCTTCCTCCAATCCTTTTTATCCTATAAAGTTCCTTCACATGGGTCCTTCTTTTTTTTGGGGGGGGGTCCGGTCGTGGGGCCTGAACTCTGGGCCTGGGTGCTGTCCCTCAGCTCTTCAGCTCAAGGCTAGCGCTCTACCACTTGAGCCACAGCGCCACTTCCGGCTTTTTTCTTTTTGCTTATGTGGTGCTGAGGAATCGAACCCAGGGCCTCAGGCATGCAAGGCAAGCACTCTACCACTGAGTTACCTTCCCAACCCATGGGTCCTTCTTATCTTTTCATTCTGTTCTCCTTTGTGCCCTCCATCATCTATAACATTCCTCCAACATTTCAGATCCGAAGACGGAGCCAAGCTGGCAGAGCAGGGCTCCGAGAGAGGGACCAGCTCTTGGCAATCAATGGAGTTTCTTGTATCAGCTTTTCTCATGCCAGTGCCATGAGCCTCATCGATGCCTCTGGGAACCAGCTTATTCTCACTGTGCGGCGGTATGGACTCTTTCCCTCTCTTCTCCTTTCTTGTCTGTTTCTGCTCTATGTCTTACTGGCTTGGTTTCAGCAACTAACAAGTACTTACTTCTGTTCATTGGTTTCTGCGGCCGTACAAATGTTTGTGTATGCCTTGCAAAGGGTTTGACTGTATGTGCAATTAAGGGATTTAAACAATGGATCTTATGGGATTTGAGAACTGGATCTACTTTAGTCCATGTATTATCTCCTCCTCCACCTATCTTCCTCAGAGCTCACAATCTTCCAAGAGCGTTTGCTTCCTGCTTTGTCCTCAGATCTCTTCACTCTTCCCAGAGCATCCATTCCAACTGTATACCAGTTCATTTCTCTTCCTCCCCTCTGGATCTCTTTAGCTGTTAGATATGCAGCCCTTCTCTCATGTTCTGTCACCTTTCCCATCTAGGGTAGCAGATGAAGGACCTGTGAGATCTCCATCCCCTGGGGAGCTTCAGGCACTGTCACCCTTATCTCCATTAAGTCCAGAGCCCCCTGGTGCTCCTGTTCCCCAGCCTCTTCAGCCTGGAAGTCTTCGCTCACCCCCGGACAGTGAGGCTTACTATGGAGAGACAGACAGTGATATGGATGGCCCTGCCACTCAAGAAAAGCCCCGCCGACCCCGCCGCCGAGGTCCCATGCGGCCTACCCCTCCAGGAGCTCTACCTGATGAAGTCTACTTGTCTGACAGTCCTGCAGAGCCAGCACCTGCCATTCCTGGTCCTCACAGCCAGAGTGACAGTCGTGTGAGCTCCCCATGTTGGGAAGAAGGGCCAGCCCTTCAGCCATCCTCAGCTGAGGCACTGCTGTTACCCCATGGTCCACTCCGGCCTGGTCCTCATCTCATCCCTATGGTGGGTCCTGTCCCCCATCCAGTGGCAGAAGATCTTACTACCACCTACGCCCAAAAGGCCAAGCAAGCCAGTGAGTGCCTGAACCCTCTTTTCTTTTCTTCCTAGCCAAGATCATAACTCTAAATCTATTTCTCCCTATCTACACTTTCTGTCTACCTGTTGGATAGAATCTTTGAGATAATTAGAGAAGGGTGATAAATGAGAGGGAAGAGGAGTTGTTATGGTCCTCATTATTTTTGCTATTTGAACCAGTGTAGGGAAAAGGGATAGGTAGTTCAAGCCAACCCAAGAGCAGACCAAGTCGGGAAATTGGAAAGTGACATGAATAGATGAAGGGTTTGGTGGTTGCTCTTGTTTTGCTGTGTGTCAGAGTGGAGAAAAGGAGGATGGCAGACACAGAACAAGGGAGTACACTGAAGCAAGGTAACACTATAGAAACTTTACAGTATTAATTGCAATCATGGTATCAGAGCTACTGTTACCATTTTTAAGTTCAGTTAGGATTCCTGAGGCCTGGGAAGCTCTGGGATGGTCATGAGATTCCTAGGAAGTAGGAGAGAGAGGGATATTTGGCTCCTTATCTTAGGCAAGAATGCAGGCCTGGGCAGAAAAAGCCAATTGCACTTATCTCAGGCTCTCTGCTATTCTTGATGTGAGCTATAGAACCATATCTGAGAGTCAAGTTTCTCCCTATCTTGGGCCTCCCATAGAGACATTTTGTCACCTCTAAAATCTCAGGATTCCCTCTCTAGCTGTTATTTTTTTCTTTCTTCACATTCTGCTATTGATTCCTGATCCATAGAATTTTGTGTCTCCAATGTCTAAATAGAAGCTAAGACTATGATGATTTAGAATCTGACCATCTATGAGTGTCAAATAACCCACAAAGAAATTCCAAATGAATGTTCAGTATCACATACTTATGCCCAGTTCTCATTTTATCACCCCCTCCCTTCCCATCCTGCTGGGTAAGACTGTAGTTGGTGGCTCAGGATATTTTTAGCAGATTGTCCAGTGGAGTGGTGTAGGGGGAAGGGGAGGCAGGTGCCCATGTCCATCACACCAGGACTTGTGGGGCAGTGAAAGAAGGGAGGGAGGTGGCCAGGCTCCAAAAATAGCCCAGTGAGCTCATTCAGCTGCCAGCTCTGGGGATCAAACAAAGGGGCTTTAAAAGGCATTGGGGGTGGCTCAAGCTGGTCCTGCTCCAGCCAGCACTGCCTTTCTCAGCATGGAGACCTTTGAGCCCATCATCCAAGAGCCCCTCACCCAAGCCAGCTTCGACAAAGCCCCAGGCCCAGGTCCTGAGCTCCAAGACCCATTCTATGCAGGTACCTCCCACACTCACAAGAATATTGGGGTCTAGAATTGAGGGTGAAACCTCAACCATTTAGGAAGGGTAAGGTAATCTTTGGGAAAGGTTATACTCTCTTGTCCCCTCATTCTTTTTACTGTCTTCTTTTTCCTTTCTTCAGGAAAGTCTCACTGCTTCTTTCTCAGAATAGGTTAATGCTATGGCCACATCTCAAGGGGGTTTGATGGGCTGTGGAAATCTCATAGGAACAGAGTGTATAAAAAGAGAAAGGTGGGAGCACATTATGAATACCTGAAGGTATGCATGTGTAAGTCTGTTGAAGATACATGAAAACAAGAAAGTGTCTTTATACACATACAGCTAATGACAAGAATGCTTTTAGAGTAATAGTTTCTCACAGTGGGCCTTAGTACAGCATTAAAAGCTAAATTTACTTATATTATTCATCCTCATAGAAACCCTATGAGGTAGCTATTATCTTTATTTACAGATGAGAAACTTAACTTCAATGTGGTGAAGTAACTCTTCCAACAACCCCAAACCTGAAATTAACTCTGACTTTGGTGCCAATTCCTCTTATCCACAGGGCTATTTATTCTCTGTTGTGCGCATTGAGAAAGCAGTTAGAAAGCAGCGTGAATGGAAAATAGATGGAATTTCAAGAATTTTTTAGGAACAACTGAGACCATGAACTAGTATCCTTGTGTAAGACTGGGTCTTACAGCAGAGCAGCCTCTCCCATTTCCTAGCTCCACCTACCTAAGCCCACATGGCATGGGAAGTCCTGCTCTGATTCTCTTCAGCATATAGTCTTTGTGTGCCTGTTAGTGGCTGCCTGAACTCTCTACCCAAAAGTCTTGGCAGATGGGGGCAGGCAGTTCTAGCCGCCAAAGAAACCTACTCTACTCCCACCTCCAAGTTGTGGGAAACAATCTATTTACCTGGTGACGTTAAAGGAGGATCCTAAAGATTTGGAAGGTTGCCTGGAGAACAGGATCTCTGGCTGTGAGTAACCAGTGGAAATCATAGAGAAGTTCTTTGGAGGTTGGAGGGCAGAGATGAACTCTGAAATTATGTCCTAATTATTACTAATAGGGTCTTTGCAGGGAAACTCTGGGAAGAAGAGCTACCTAGATGGTACAGGTGTATAAATGTATTTGCGTAACTATGTTTTAATGTGAGGACAAGTGTGTTTATTGTATATGTGAACTGAGGTGTGTGTATCCTGGAATATACACAAGAGAAAATTATATAGGATAAAGTGTACCGACAATTTGCTTTCAGTAGTCTGATATTCTTGTTGAAATTATATGAATTGGAGCTATCCCTATGAGTGTTCATGACATGTGACAAGGGTAGAATTGAGACAAAGAGCCTTGTGGCCAACAATCCTGTCTGAGCTGGGCACTGGTGGCTCATACCTGTAAATCCTAACTACTCAGGAGGCTGAGATTTGAGGATTGTGGCTTGAAGCTAGCCCCAGCAGGAAAAGTCTGTGTGACTCTTATCTCTAATTAACTACCAGAAAAAGCCAGTAGAGGAGCTGTGGCTCAAAAAAAAACTAATAAAACTACAAAACAAAAAGAAACCCCGAAGAACAGTATCCAGGCTCTGAGTTTTTCAAGCCCAAGGACCAGCAGCAGCAACAACAACAACAAAAATCCAGTATGTCTTGGTCATGGTAATGGGCAATAAATTCCAAACTTGGCAAATGGCCTCAGAACAGTCTCTGGACAGAAGTGTCCCTTCCCATCTTTTGCTCTCCCTGGGACCTGCCTTATTTCCCTGCCTTCCATTAAGAAAGTGACACCTCCTCTCCACCCTTATTGCCAGCCAAGAATGAGAGGCAGGTGTGGAATGTGTGGAGTGGGTAAGTGCACATCTCTGGGAAGATAGGAGCAGAATGGAAAGGAAGAGAGGATGTGACCAGGGCAGTGTCACTGTCCTTGATTTCACCTTTTACCCTCTACTTTGTCCCCAAGTCTCTGAGTACTTTGCCATAGGCAAAAGATACTGTAGGTTCTAAGGGTGAAGATAGAAGGTAGGAGGTGGGAGAGAGCTGCCTGGGGTGAGGTGTGTGTATAAGTTTTGGGGAGCAGAATTAGGACAGGATACAAAGCCCCACTCATCCGTCTACCTCTCTGTCTCCTCAGAACTGCAACGTGCAGAATCTCTCCAAGAAAAGAGTGTGAAGGAGGCCAAGACCAAATGCCGGACCATTGCATCTCTGTTAACTGCAGCCCCCAACCCTCACTCCAAGGGGGTGCTTATGTTTAAGAAACGACGGCAGAGAGCCAAGAAGTACACCCTAGTAAGTTTTGGGGCTGCAGCTGGGACAGGCACCGAGGAGGAAGAGGACGGCATCCCCCCAACGAGTGAGTCTGAGCTGGACGAAGAGGCCTTTTCAGACGCACGCAGCCTCACCAATCAGTCTGACTGGGATAGCCCCTATCTGGACATGGAGCTGGCCAAGGTGGGCTCAGGAGCAACAGAGGGCCAGGGCTCCGGGCAGGGAGGGCACCTGAGCGAGGTCTTCGGGCGAGGGGTCCAGCTCTTTGAACAGCAGCGCCAGCGCGCAGCCTCCAGCACCCTGGAGCAGGCTCAGGTGGGTCCAGCAGCGGTGCTCAATGGGCAGGGCCCACAGTCACCCCCTCGGGCCCAAAGTGCTCCTCCGGAGGCGGCTGTGCTCCCACCCAGCCCTGCCCCGGCCCCTGTGGCCAGCCCCAGACCCTTCCTCCTAGCTGGTGGGGCCTCCAGTCCATCCCCAAGCATCTTCAACAGGTCAGCTAGGCCCTTCACCCCGGGCTTACAAGGGCAGCGGCCAGGTACAACCTCGGTTATTTTCCGGCCATCAGCCCCCAAAAGGGAGACCGAAAGCCTGGGGAGCCTCAGCCCGGTGCCACCCCCCTTCGCGTCCTCTCCGCAGGGGCCCACCCCTGCGTCCAGCTTCGCGCCCCCCGCGGGCTCCCCCAGCGCTGCCCGCTCCCCGGGTCCAGTTATGGCCACCAGCTCCCTGTACATCCCAGCCCCCAGTCGGCCGGTCACACCAGGAGCCGCCTCAGAGCACTCAGCTCTTCCCGGTGCCATGACCTCCACTGCTTCCATCTTCTTATCGTCTCCCCTGCGACCCTCTGCGCGCCCGGAGTCGCCGGCCCCGGGGCCCGCGGCCCCGGAGGTCCCCAGCGCTCGGGAGCAGCGCATCTCGGTACCCGCTGCCCGCACCGGCATCCTGCAGGAGGCCCGGCGCCGGGGGACCCGAAAGCAGATGTTCGCACCGGGAAAGGAAGAGACGAAGAACTCGCCCAACCCCGAGTTGCTATCGCTGGTGCAAAACTTGGATGAAAAACCCCCGGCCGGGGGTGCGGAATCCGGTCCGGAGGAGGACGCTTTGAGCCTGGGAGCTGAAGCTTGCAACTTCATGCAGCCGCCAGGGGGCCGGGGTTACAAGACCCTGCCCCACGTGACCCCGAAGACCCCGCCCCCAATGGCTCCCAAGACCCCACCCCCCACGGCTCCTAAGACTCCACCCCCTGTGGCTCCCAAGCCAGCCTCTCGGGGGCTCCTGAATGGGCTAGTGAATGGGACGACCCCTTCCGCTGGAATCCCTGAGCCACCGAGGCTGCAGGGTAAGGGTGGGGAGCTGTTTGCCAAACGGCAGAGCCGTGCCGACAGATACGTGGTGGAAGCTACACCTGGTGCTGGCTTTGGCCCCGGTCCCCGGCCTAGAAGTCCTTCTCCCACCCCCTCACTGCCCCCCTCCTGGAAATACTCACCAAACATCCGTGCCCCCCCTCCTATTGCTTACAACCCACTGCTCTCACCCTTTTTTCCCCAGGCTGCCAGAACTCTCCCAAAGGCCCAGTCCCAGGGACCTCGGGCAACCCCTAAGCAGGGCATCAAGGCCCTGGATTTCATGCGGCATCAGCCATACCAACTTAAAACAGCCATGTTCTGTTTTGATGAGGTCCCTCCAACTCCTAACCCCACTTTAGGGCCCACCAAAACCCCCAGAGTTCAGGAGATCCGCCGATTTTCCACTCCAGTCCCCCAGCCCACTGCAGAACCCTTGGTACCCACTGTGCTTGCTCCCAGAGCAGCTACTACATTGGATGAGCCTATCTGGAGGGCAGAGCTGGCCTCAGCCCCTATCCTTAGCCCCGCCCCTCCTCAAGAGTCTCCCAGGGGCCTTGGGGTCACCCTCAGCTCCTGTGGTTTCCAAGTAGCCAGGCCCAGATTCTCAGCCACCAGAACAGGACTGCAGGCTCATGTGTGGAGACCTGGGGCAGGGCATAAATGAGCAAAAGTAAGTCCCAGGACCAAGGAGAAGTGGTGCTTCTCATTTCCTATCTTACCACTTCTCTCAGGTACCTGGAGGCTAACTTCTTTCCTGCTAGACCTAGTTGGACTTATGTCCCATTCCTAAGCTTTCTCTTCACTCTCCAACTCCTTTGCTGCTTTCTAACGCATTATCTTTGCTTCAGTCTTTTTGCTTCTTCTTCTTCTTTTATTTTTTTGCCTAGATTTCTGTCTATAACTCCTGGCCTCTTCACTCATAGGCCTCCACAGGTTTCTACTTTTTTTTCCAATATTTTATTTTTCACTGTGGGCCTTGTTTTAATGTTCAGTGAGAAGCACACTAGGAGCTTAGACAAGAAGTTTACCGCTAGCCAAGCAGAGTCTGAATTGACCCCTGTGTGCATTAAACCCTGCTCCTCACTGTTTTCCTAGGTATATATTTAGGTATCTATATGTGTGCCAATGAGTATGTTTGAATGTATGATCAGGATCTGATCTGGAAAGTGGTTAGATACATATGCTCTTGTGTCTGAAGCAAGAGTAAGAGGGAAAATTTAAATAAGCTTTCAATTTGAGACTTAATCTTTTATTGATAGGAGGGTCAGAAATCTCCACATAGACTGTCAAGAGGAATGAACTGTATTGAAGAATAACTCGAGACCAGCTTCTGTAGCAGAGGCACAGCATTTTGTGAAATGAATGCAGTCTGACAAGACTGAAGGGCAGGAATAATTTTCATGATGCTGTGTTACACCACACAGTCCCCCCAGTACAACCTGGTATCCAGGAAGTAAAAAAAAATCAAAAATTTCTGAAAATGAATAAATTATTATCCTTATTGCTTCATGATTCAGAAAGGAAAGGAAAGAGAGCCAGGGTGAGGAGAGTGAGGCAGAAGCTACCAGGGGAGCAGAGATGAGTAAAAATGATCTAATCACAGATAGGAGTATGGTAAAGAGAGAAAGCAGTGTTGGTAGAAAGTAAAGTTGGCTAGCAAGAAACCAGCTGTGTGCAAGAGGAGTATTGATGCAAGTCTGAAGAACTGTTAGAGTGAAAGAGGTGTGAGGATGTTTTCTGAGTGTAGAAAGAAGAGTTGGTGGCCGTGCACCAGTGGCTCACACCTGTAATCTTAGCTCCTCAGGAGGCTGAGATCTGAGGATCTTGGTTCAAAGCCAGCCCGGGCAGGACTCTTATCTCCAATAAACCACTAGAAAACTGGAAGTGGCACTGTGGCTCAAGTGGTAGGGTGCTAGCCTTGAGCTGAAGAGCTGAGGGACAAGTGCCCAGGCCCAGTTCAAGCCCCAAGACTGACAAAAAAAGTAAGAAAGAAAGAGAGAGAAAGAAAGAAAGGAAGGAAGAAAGAAAGAGAGAAGAGTTGGTGGCTATGCTACCATCTCCTGGAAATTTACCCTTCAATTTGTCTTCTAAATTTTGTTATGACTACCTAGGAAAGGGCAGAGAGGCACACAGGGCCAAAATCTCCTTTAAGTCCTACCCCATCCCTTAAAAGCCTAGCTCTTCTTCCTTTTCAGCTTCAGATCCTAAACCAAGAAAGACATGGATTCCTCTCCCACCAAGACCACCACCAGTCATGTTTGCTGTTTGATCTGGAAAGTAATCATTTCCTTTGCAAATTGGGTGTGAGTCACGGTTCTTTGGTTGTGCACAAGAATAAACTTATGCCTTATACCTTCTGTTTCTGTCATCTTTTCTGGTTTTATATCCAAATCCTGATTTCTCTTGATTACTAATCTGTTACCTTGATCTGATTTCTGATCTCTATTCTTGTCCTTCCCCCTTTTGTTTTTACCCTTTTGCTCCTTTGTTCCTTTCCTCCAAATCTGTCTTATTCCCTCTCCTCTTGGTTTTCTCTTCCTGCAGTCTCCAGCCAGGTTCTTTTCTCTCTCCTTCATTACCTTCCAAGTACATTCTTTTCAGAACTGGGAGATCTTGTTTTAAAAAAACCAACAAAACCCAATGCTGGGCGCCGGTGTCTCACGCCTGTAATCCTAGCTACTCAGGAGGCTGAGATCTGAGGATCTTGGTTCAAAACCAGCCAGGGCAGGAAAGTCTGTGACATTCTTACCTCCAATAAACCACTAGAAAACCGGAAGTGGCACTGTGGCTGAAGTGGTAGAGCGCCCGTCTTGAGCTGAAGAGCTGAGGAACAGCACCCAGGCCCAGAGTTCAAGCCCCACAACTGACAAAAAACAAAAACAAAAAATAAACCTCTTAACCCTTCAGGATTTCCCAGCTCTTTGGAGGAAGCAACCATGTTAAACATAATTCTCTAAGAATTAAGTGAAGGCAAGTGACTAGGTATGATATGGGATGGGAGAGGGAAGAAAGGCAGATCAGTGTGAATTGTGACAAATAGAGAAGGGAAGGCACTGGAGGAAGATTGGAATGAAAGACATTTTTAGAAGGAAGGTGCCATTATTCAAGTTGACCAGCAGAGGGCACGTTTGTGCCAATAACTAGGTATCTACCACTAGTTACAATCTGATTTTTTTTTCCTTCCTGACCTGTGACTTGAAATCTGGGCCTAGGCACTGTCCTTGATCTTTTTTTTTTTTTTTTTTCTTCAGTACTGGGGTTTGGAGTTTCCCACTTATTTATTTTTTTGGTTGGTCCTGGGGCCTGAACGCTGGGCCTGGGTGCTGTTCCTCAGCTCTTCAGCTCAAAGTAAGCTCTCTACCATTTGAGCCACAGCGCCACTTCCAGCTTTTTCAGCTTACGTGGTGCTGAGGAATCGAACCCAGAGCCTCATGCATGCGAGGCAAGCACTCTACCACTGAGCCACCTTCCCAGCCTCTTGATTTTCTTCTTTTTGCTCAAGGATAGCACTCTACCACTTGAGCCGCAGTGCCACTTGCAGCTTTTTCTGTTTATGTGGTACTGAGGAATCAAACTCAAGGCTTCATGAATGAGGCAAGCATTCTACCACTAAGCCACATTCCCAGTCCTGTTATTTATGTTTTCTAATTGCTTCCTTGGGTTGGACAGAAACAGAGAAGATGAAGGGTCTAGAGGCAGCAGAAGCTGATATGGTGAGGGGTGGGAAGAGGATATTCAATCCTTAGGATTGATTTATTTATTTTTGGTCAGTTGTGGAGCCTAAACTTGGGCCTGGGCACTGTCCCTCAGCGATTCAGCTCAAGGCTAGCGCTCCACTGCTTGAGCCACAGCTTTTTCTGCTTATGTGGTGCTAAGGAATTGAACCCAGGTCCTCATGCATGCAAGGCAAGCACTCTACCACTGAGTCACCTTTTCAACATGAGAAATGTAGGATGGAAGAAAGGCATGGCCAGGAAGAATAGAGAGTTTACTGAGGCACTAGATATATTCTGAAAGTTTCAGAATCACTTCCTGCTGGGAATTGGTGGCTCACATCTGTAATCCTAGCTATTCTGGAGGATGAGATCTGAGGATTGCCTTTCAAAGCCAGCCTGGGCAGGAAAGTCCATGATACTCTTCTCTCTAATTACCAAGAAGATGGAAATGGCACTACATCTCAAAGTGGTAGAGCACTAGAACACAAAAGCTCAGGGACTGTGCCCAGGCCCTGAGTTCAAGCCCCAGGACACACACACACACACACACACACACACACACACACACACACACACACAGAGTCACTTTCTAGGCTGTGATAGGGCAGTGATGGCTGTAGTGGCAGAGCAGTGGCCACTGATTCTAGCTGGTTTTCTCTCCTACTCTGAATCCCTATCCACCACTTACTGCCTGTTTCCTCTGTCCCCTTGTCTTCAATTTCTCACTAAATGCTTTGGATCTTAGACTGTAGGAACAAAGGAAAAATAGAGCTTCTGGGCAGATTTACTCCTGACTCAGACAGCTCAGTAGAAGAATCCCAAAGGTGTTTCTCCTCTTCTGAGCCTCTGGGCAAGGAGTACAGGATCTTGGTTTCAGGGTCTCAGTACCCCCTGTGCCATTTGAGCTGCTTGCACTCATCGTCTCTATTTATAACTACCCTCCCTCCCCCACTGCCAGTGCTGCCCCCACGCCTGCCCAGCTCAGGTTCTCCGGTCACAGCAGCTCAGTCCTCCAAAGCTGCTGGACCCCAGGGAGAGCTGACCACCAACTGAGCAGTCGGTAAGTTTGCAGCCCTATGACTCAAGGGGCTGGAGCCCCCTCTGCTGACTTTTGTGTTTGCAATTGATCCTGCAGGAGTAGCCTTATCCCCATCTCTGATCAGCTCTCAGCTGTCTAGTTCAGGGAGCAACAGAAAGTTGGAAGGAGAAAGGCCAAGGAGGTTGGACACGGCAGGGATGGGGGTGGGGGGGCAAGATAGTAGAGAAGTCTCCTGATAAATAGGAATGGAGTCTGAGACCCTGCTAAAGTGGTCAAGTTGCGGGTGTGTTTTTAAGACAGGACTCCGAAGAAGATAGAATGTCTCTGTGTGTCAATTTCTGTTAAGGAGGAGCTGGAGTGTATCTTTGCCCAGTTTGGCCTCATCCAGATCTTATTACTAAATTCCAGTCTTCCCTCAATTTCCTACTGCTATGATAGTGTTGATGTGACACGCATCAGTGTCTGAATGCCCTCTCATTCCCTTTCCATTCCAGCTCTGAGGTCTAGTCTAGGGCAGAAGTGACTGAAGGAACAGGGAGCATACCCATGACCTCCCAAGGCCATGTTCCAGCTGGCCCAATGAGAGAATAACAACTTCTATGTAGAAAGTCCATGAGACTCCTATCTCTAATTAACTACCAAAAGGCTGGAAATGACCCTATAGCTCAAAGTGGTAGAGCACTAGCCTTGAGCACAAAAGCTCAGGGACTGTGCCCAGGCCCTTCTTTCTATGTATTTTTAGTTGAATCTCCTCAGGTCTGGCAGAACATTTCCTTACTCCTCTGGGCCTTGAGGGAGGATGGAGGAGCAGAAACTAGAGCTTGGAATCATAGCCTTACTCTGATATTTTCAATGCAAATAAAGAGTCCAATTATTTCACGCCCTTGAAATCGTCATTGTTATTGTCTT